TAGTATCCAACCCTATTATTGTTTAGAACGTACCGAAATAGTATTGCGAGGACGAATGTTATAGCAGGAATGAGATTGGTCATAGCTGCTGCAAATGTGGCTGATGTTAATGCTAAGCTCTCTGCGTATAGATTTTGGGCCATTGATCCCCTGTAATTCGATTGAAGATTAATGAAATTAAAAGAAAATCAATAGCCTGGGGAAGACATTTGAGAAGCGACTAGAAGACAATGAAAAAAAGAAAAAGAAAAAGGAAAATAAAAATTAACAAAATGTTATAAATGTATATGTTGTTTCATTAAATAAGTTAGATAAGTAAATTTTCAATACAGTGAAAAGATCAATTTAGCCTCCGTTTTCTAAAAATTAATTTTCTTAAATTAATTTTCAACCGAACATTTCATTAACTTTTATCAAGATCTATTAAAATATAGCTAAACCGAACAGGGTTGAGTCCCACTAATTTTATTCTTATTTTATTTTGTTTTTTGGGTTTTGGCGAGTGATAGAAGCAGAATTTGGTTTGGCTTTCTCTAGAAAATGGGAATTCTGTGTAGATAGTTATAATCCAATTTAGCATGCGGTCTAAAATTAAATTCGTTCATACTTTCTGACTAAAAGGAATGATAAAATAAAATAGTAACCTAGCCTACTAAATTAAAAGAGTAATGCTATTCGTAATCGCTCACTGCGGTAGTTGCCCTACGTGGCATACACATGACAGGTGATTATTTGATGCATTAATATGATAGTTTTTTTATTCATTAATACATCAAATAACTACATGTCATGTGTATGTCACGTAGGACGACTACTGCAGTGAGCGAGTGCAAATAGCATTATTCAAATTAAAAACTAAAAACTCACCCAAATAAAGCAATAAGAAATGCTTGGAAGGCAATCCTCCATGTCAATTTTGGCCTTTTTTGCCTGCAAAAATGAGCAGAATCAGATATATTAAAGCAACTACAAAGCTTTACACGCAACTTTCCCTCAAGAGAATTTTGCAGTCAAATTCACAAAATCAAAAACTTTTTCACTGTTACTGATCAAAGTGATGAAGCTTCTCAAAACTTGGAGACAAAAGCCACCTTTAATACGTAATTTATAGATTATAATTTCCCATGCAGAACTTTTGAATTTATCTGTACCTTTCGAGGATCAGAGCGAGTGGAATAACTGTTAGTGAAGCAAACACGAAGCGATAAGCCACCAAAACCTTCAAGCTCATGCCACAGTTTGCAGCCAGTTTGTAGAAAATATTGACTCCTGTTAATATTATTTGTAAACCCACCATGATTATTATTGGCTTCAGACCTTCAACTATATCACATATTTTCTCCATTACATTTGTATAGCATCTCTGTAACTTCCTGATATGTATGTGTGTGGCTTGGGTGAAAAAGAAAAATAAAGAAGGCAAGAAGATCAAGATTTTTGATTTGTCTAAACTACTTGCTCGTCTCTACATCATGGAGAGAGTTCTTTTGAAATATATATAGTGGGCCTAATGCGTAGAAGGTGCATGAAGTTAGGAGTGGATTGTGGGTGGGGTATTTATTGGATTCAACAGAACGATGTAGCAGGGTTGTTGTGCTATTTTCCCATGTCACGTAAAGAAGGAAAATGTGTAACGTTGTCTGAAATCTGAGCATGGACGAGGATTTGAAACGGTGGATTGTGGGTGGGGCATTTGTTCATTATTTTAATTTGGAATAATGTTATTTACAATAGTTCACTATCGTAGTCGTCTTATCAGGGGCGGATCCAGGATTGAATTCAAGATCGAGTTACAAAATTTTAAACCGAGCTACTATGCTGGAAAAAAAAAATTTATACATAAAAAACTGGTTTTTTACAAAAAAATAAAATAAAAAATACCTTAAAAAAAAAAAGCTATTGGGCCTGAAGAGGGGAGGGGGCTACAGCCCACGCCAGCCCCCCCAAATCCCTCTTAACGTCTTATATAATATATATGTGATAATTAATGATTTAATGCATGTAAGGCAACTAATGTACTGAGCGACTGCAAATATCATTACTCTTTAATTTTACAGTATAAATATTTTTCTTCATTAACAAATATTTTTCTTCTGAGATGGGTCCAAGAAGTTGAAGATCACATGCAAAATCAGCGAGAAGGCATTTTCGAGAGGAAAAATATATAAAATTAATAAAGCAATTAATCATCGAAGCTTTCTTAATAGAAAATGTAATAAATTAGTCATCATCCAAATGAAACTGAGGATTAGTAATAAGTTTATTGTAATTCTTAAAAAATGTGTATCATGTAGCAGCATTAGTTACTAATGCTCAATAACATTATTTTTAATCACGTCACTGCCTACGTTGCGCTCCACTACTATACATAAAGTAGTAATTAGCGTAGCAAGAATATAAGATTAAGTGCAGTTGGAATTTAATAAATAATGATTACGAAACTTTTAATTACAGCTTTTGGCTTTCCTAAATAGGAGGAAATGTAAGGCCCTGTTCTCGTTTTCGGGTCGTTTTCTGTTTTCGATTTTTCAAAACGGTGACAACGTGTTCTCTTTCCCGTTTTCGAAAACAAATTTTCGAAAACGTTTTCGAAAACGAAAAAAAATTTGTGAAGAAAACACAAAATGACTTTTTTGTCGTTTTAGGCGTTTTCAGTGTAAAACTTGAAAACGCGGGAAACACTTCTTTTTTTTTTTTTTTTTTTTTTTTTTTTTT